GTCATGATATGTAAATTCAAAATTGTTATTTTACGGTGGTAATCTTGTTTTCTTGTGCCCAATAATGCATAATTTCATTTGATAAACACGTTTAGATTGAATGGTAATTTATAATCAGTCACAAGAACGTTGAATCTGAATCACTTGAAAAAAACACGGAGGTGCTTAACTTTTTTCCAGGTGTATATTTGCCATTAACTTGTATGTGTTTCATAATATTTACTATAGTAGCACAAACTTGTTTTCTATAATGATGGAACACTGTATACAACCACATAAAATGATGGAATAATAAATTGTTTGTAAATTATATTTTATTGATTTGTTGGTATCAGATGATGAATACTTTTGTATAAATATATTTATCATTATTGAAATCTGTTAAAATTTTATGTATTCTTTCACTTCAAATGTTAGGTTGCCTTGGAGTTAGCAAAAGTTCTGCTACATTTAGAAAATTCTTATACAATTGATGATTTTGTGATCCTTCGACACCAATCTTTGGTGGCTGTACTTACAAAACATCCAAAAGAGGTAATTATTTTAGAAGTATCATTTTTCAAGCCATAAATTATATACAAATAGTTACATTTGTGTAATATACTATAGTCTTGTATAATTTTATTAACTTTAGCTTCACATCTAACATGAAAAACTAATTTTTTGATTTTGTAAAAAATATTGATGTGTCGTGTAACATCATTGTTTAAAAAGTGTAATAATTTAGCTGATTTGTAGTACGTTTCCTTTAACTATATGGTAAAGGTAAAATATTTTTTTATTGTTTTGTAAAAAAAAATTAGGAAAAAGAAAGAAACATATTACAACTACTGTAATTTAACAAGCATTAAGTTTTTTTAATTTTGAAAATTTAACTCTTAAAATGTCCTGATATTTAGTAAAAATCAAAAGTTCCCAAGTAGTTTATCTCTGAACATGAGATCTGTTAAATTCTGTTAAAATTGTATGGTGAACCTTATGAAATCTTGAGAAAGATATGAGATTGTGCCGACTGCAACAGAAAAAGGGATAACACAGTGAGAGCATGTGAGTTTTTTTGTTTGTACTTAGGATTTATCAATTTTATTGTTATTTATATCATTATAAGTTCATTTCAATCATGTCAACAAATATAACTCACTGCCACTACAGGTGAATGTCACAAATGTTGACAGCTTTGCCTCCTATTTCATCATGGCAGAGTTAAATCAATATGATCTCTCATTATTATAATTTTTATTGCATTGACTTTTTGTGTTATATTTTCCTTACATAGGTGCAGCTGTCATAAAACTACTGTAATACTCTATCCACGCTCGTAATCTCTGTGAATACATTATATCAGGTTTTAATTTCTGTCCAACTCTATTAATATGTTGTATCATTAGCATCAATATTTTATGCTTCAAAAGATTTTAATTTCCCATTACTGTTGTGTATGTTGAATAAACAAATTTGTCTGAATTTTATACAAAACTAGTAAAAGATAGATCAGTGTGATCTATCATGTCATGTGGTGAGGTAGCCTTTAACCAGCATATAATTTTCAAAGTTGCCATATAAAGCATTGATACAAATAATTATTTTATTGGCTTGTATATTTAATAAACAGCATGTAAACAATTTAATAAATCTATGAGTTATGTTCTTTGATAGGCCTAACTCACAAAAAAAACTTGACAGTCACTTGTTAAATTTCCTCTCATATCTATGTTGTAAACTAGATTATGATGGCCAAGGATATTCTCATTTCATAATTAAGTAACAAAGTGGTTAAATATTAAAGCTTCTACAAACTTGTTAAAAAGATCTTTAACATTTCTTGAATTTTTTACAAATCCTATAAACCAGTTACGTCTCTGGTCGTTAGTTAAATTCCGTAAAAATTCTTTCTGAAAAAACTTTAGCGATGCAAGTCCTTTCTTAAATAAAACTAGTTTATTCTTTCTCAATACAACTTTGCAATACACTTAATTTCCACAATCACGCTATAACTTAAACAAACGCTATAATTTACAACGAACGAACGAATCACGAGCTTGACTCAATTGTCGTCTCTGTTTGCAATTCAATTACATTGTTGCCGTCACTTCTTGGCGGTCTTATATGCAAGAGTACCGCGCATCTAGTAAACACTCGAGGCTTCACGAAGGGACATGAATTTTCTAGAAGCTCATGACGTGTTACTAGCATCACGTGACTTCCACTGTCGTAACAAACCTATGAAATTAGAAGCTATATGAGTATCAAAAACTATATATTTAATATATATAGTTTAAAAATTAAAATTAAGAAGTTGCATTTGTTTTGTATCATAGCATAAGGTTTCAGTCATGTTGTAGAAGTTTGATGGTTTCTTTACTATAGCTAACTTTATAAAAGTGGTTGAGATATCAGACATATTTTCTAGAGTATAATGTTACCCACAGACCAAGAGATGTTTGCAATTAATTAAAGTTTGTAATATGCTTTGATATTACATTAGTTGTGTTTCTGTCTATTCCATATATAGTTTAAAATTAAAATAAAGACATCACATTTCTTTATATTGTAGCTTAAGGAACATGCATGTATATTTGAATTTGAACTAAAACCTAAGATCATTAAATAATTATTAAATCAAAAATAAGAAAGTTTTAATCAAAACATTTTCATACCTTTAATCAAAGCATTTGAGAAAAAAAGTATTAAGAAGAATAAAAATATTATTCCAGTTCACAAAGTATCCCATGGAAGTTAAAAGTTGTGTCTTGGTTTTTAAGATATGTTCAGAAATAAGACCTATGCAGCAGTAGGGATGCACCTTTTAGATTTAACCTCAATTTGAATATCTACAAAGAACTTTAATTAGATTTAAGCTTTAAGAGTAGATGTAAAAACTCAATTGTGGAACATCCTATCTCCTCACAATCTTTCACTCTACAATGGAAGGTCACTTTTCAAAATAATACATTTACAGGTGATTAATAACAGACTGTAGTACTGGGATGTTTTATATGTTTTACACCCCTCTAATTAAAAATACAATTTTCAAAATTATGTGGTTTTTGTTGTTCCTCAGATGGAACACAGTGACACTCAAGTTCAAATGAGTTTCAAGCTTTAACTCTTCTTAAGTGAACTAGTTTAAGAAAAGATTACAAAGTCTGTTTGCTTGACTCTCTTACAGGAATAATAACATTGCTTTATTTAGCAAGATGAGTTATTCTTGGTAGCAAATTATATAATAGTTGTTAATGTACTTGCCAATGATCTTTACTGTGTGTGTTGATCAGTTGATCTAACAAGCATCAAGCACTGTTTTCTTGTGTCGGGAACTTAAAGGCTTATTGACATAATGAAGACAATATTGGGGCTTGGGAGAGCAGAGATTTTACACAAACTTACAGAGATATGTTAAAGATTTTATATAAATTCTGGAGATTTGCATGTGTTTTCATTACATTAACTTGTTCAGCAAAAGCTGATATTTTTTGTTTGTTCAGAAAACTCTTTCAAGTTCTCACATTAGAATTACGTGATTCTGCAGGTTCGTATTTTGTTTCAGAAGAGATGCTAAGGTTCTCATGTTACGTTAGGTGTTTGTCTTCTCTAGATGAAATGTAGCTTCATTGTTTACTTTCACTTTGTCTAGGGTAAAAACTATAAAGTTCTCACCAGTGAGTCATAGTTACTTACATTCTCAGTACAAGAATGAGTTTTAGAGTTAGCTTCATTTTAAGTCATGAAGCATACTGAGTGGAACCTTGGCTCTGCCATTGTTAGAGTTGTTTTTGAGTGAAGTTGTTTTGTTTTGAAATCCAAGTAAGGACTTGGATTTCACAGTTCTAGTGTATTTACATAGATTAAAAGGAGAATATCTTAACTTTGTGGTTATTTTTATATAGTAATTTTATTTAATTCAGTTTAGTTTACAAGGGTGAGCACATGGTGTTACATTAATAAACTTGGCATCAAAACATAATTAATAATTCAAGTTTTAATATTATATATAAGATTAAATTTGTTAACTCAAATGGAAATATTAAAAATAAATTACTCAACACTCACTTTTGTATTGTCTATGTCATATCATCCACTCTGTATGTTGTTCAGTTTACACTTTATCACTTCTAATATACAATTTCAACAATGCTTAACCAATTAAAAACTCAAACTCCAAATATTGAAAAACTAGAATATAGAATAAGAAATATCAATACCAGAGAAGCCCCTTCCATCCCTTTATTCTTTTGAAGCCACTTATTTATTCCTACCTGTCTTAAGAACATTTTTTATAACCAACAGAAAGAGCATATCCAGAACCACATAAATCTGATGGTTGTTTGTCAACTTTGTGGGGAGAAAAGCTGAAATTTCCTTCAAAATATTGAAGTGTGTTTACTAAAATCATTACTCCAAAAATACATTAATTTTTAAACCTATTTATACCTTATAAAGCCAAATAGATTATAGTAATTTTGTGATGTCCTATTCTAGTGAGTGATGATTTTTTTCTTTTAAGATGCTTAATTAAAATTTCCAAAAAACAATTTGTTCTCCTCTGTTTGCAAGAATCAATGAGGCTTAGCACCAGGTTATCAACCCTGTGTGGCTTTGTAACATCTTAAATGCTAGAAATCACGTTTTTTTTCATGTACTTTTTATTTATTGTTATATGTTTCAACAAAAATAACTAAAATTTGAGCATTTATGAGTAAATGATAATAATATAAATACATATCTTATATAGTAATCGAAATGTCATTGTATTTGACAAAATACTGGTACACTAAGTAACAGATTTGTATTTTGTAGGCCAGTTCTACTACAATATTATAAAGTTGTCCACTGAACATGTGTTATTTTTATACTCAACTGCAAATTGCACATCTCATGACATTTAAAAAAAATTATTATGAATGTATGTCAATGAACATAGCATCAAAACATAGTTTATAATTCAAATTTTAATATTACATAACTTTTAATTTCTTAATTTCTAAAGGAAATATTTAATATCTCAGTCTTCACTTCTCTGTATCACATGATGCAGCTGTTTGCCAAGTTGACCATTTTACAGTTTTTATTTGTACCCCTTGATCTTCCAAGTTTGGCCAAAAATACAATAGGCATTGCTAAGCCATAATGTAAATTTCCTTCCAAGCTTATTGCTTTACTGAAATATAACTAAGAGCTTAGAGCTTTGTGTACTTGCATACTCCTCAGACTAGGTGTTCCTTTGACAGAAACAATGTAATGGCTCACCCCATGATTTATCGTTTTATTGTCTGGGGGGATTACTACTCCATAAGTCAAAATTAAAACAAAAGAGAAAACTTTTAATAAAAAAATAAAGATATAAAGTGTAAATATAAGTTATTTGTAAGTTCTCTTGTTCCTTACCTCATCCTTTGGTTGTAGCTGTCGATGCAGGCCAGATTATCCCTGTAGTTTGCTTCTCTAATTTCCTATTCAATGCATCCTTCCTCCATGTCAATTTACCAACATAAGTGGTTTGTCTACTGTCATTGGTCTTCTCATCATGGTTTATCTCCATCCCACCCTACTCTCCCACACCTGACTTCCTTTCTTACCTGGCTTATCAACAAGGGGCTGTTGTTATCCACAATTTCTGGTTAACATGCAGCATTGTAAGCCACCTTCCATTTCACAAGACTTCACTATGTCTTCACTTCTCCAATCCTCACCCTTTTGTTTCATTCATTTTGCTTTCACCTTCCCCATATCATACTGTCCTGATTGGAACCTCAATGTCATCCTCCATGCCCTCAAATTTTGTTCCTTTGAGCCCATGTCTTCCTCTTCCTAATATCATTTATCCTTAGACCTTTTTCCTCCTCCTCTTGGTGTGTGGATTCAGGTTTGTTCCCTCTTGATGTCTCTCACACATTATATCACAGTTCCTATGTCAACCTCTACCTGAATCAGTCTTTTCTGCCCAAAACTTCAGCTACACGTGAGGGAGAATTTGCCTTCACTCCCATTTCCCTCCCTTCTATTTCTCACCTTTATCCTCATTCCAATCCAGCTTACCTCTTATATTCTGTCTGGGCTCTCCACTGTTATGTGGTTTGCATTGCTCCCTTCCATGGTACTCATTTCTGTTTGTTTAGTCATAGGAACTCTTCTCTTTCCTGTGATATTTCTCCTATTACCCTTGCAGTTTGGATTCATTAGCTGATTCATCTGGCTTATTTTTCTCTTTCTCCTGATGATTGTCATCTCTTTCAAGTCTCTTACCATCAAATCCATCACTTTACCATGTCCCTGGCATTCCTATTCTGTCGTCCTTTATAGGATATAGCTTATGCTGGCATGTGGACCACTCGCCATACACTTTTTTCACATTATCTGCATCATCTGACTGTTTCCTGCTCTACAGGTTACCATCTACCTCCTTTTACCATCTTGAACTCCATGATTTCAAGATGATTTGGTAGGTGTTCTTTTTTTATACAATTCATTTTTACAAAGCTTTTCTGGCATATACAGATCCTGCTCAATGTTGCCTGACCAAGTATACTTATTCTTAAACCTGCACTGTAAAAGCCGTTATGTTCAAAAATGCTCATTGTTACACAAGACCACTTATAGGTTTTCCTTGTAGACTTTGGCATCATAAATATGTTTGTACACACAGACTGTACACTCATGGACTAAGATGAGTAAAACAGAAGGGGATTGCTGCTCCTTGGTTTGGCTGTATCAGAAATAGTCTGCTTTTCAATATAAGGTTTTGTGCATTCCTCTGGACTCTCCAACACATCCCCCCCCCCACATTCTTCCACTGCTGGGGTGGTGGACCATGGAGGCTTCCTCCTGAGTGTGCTCAATTCTACTCAGTTGAAAGTAGGGCAGAGGTATTCTGATGGTGTAGATGGTTATAAACACTCTTCCTACCATGGCCTTGGTGTTCTCTTTGGCTGAACACCCTCCTTCCTGCTGCCACCGTATGTTGGTTCCTGGTGGGGAATACTGGTGTTATTTGAAGCTGGACCAGCTACATAAGTCCTCACATGTGATTGGTCCAGGTACTCTCCTCCTACCACAGACTGGATGACTCATACCCAATGCCACCTTGTTTTGGACTGGAATTGAACTGCCACATTGCTGTTTGGCTTTCTACCATTGTCTGGATGTTGATTCCTTGGAGTTACTGGTGTTGACAAACTGGACATGCACATATGATGATGTGGATTTTTGGAATGGAAGATCTTCTTCAGTTCTCATGTCTGAGGTGAATGGTAGAGGACACTCTTTCTTCCATGGGCTAGATATTCCTATTGCGGTACTGTTGGTGTTCGTTGAGGTCACACTCCTCATTACGATCCGCTGTACCCTAGACACTACATAAGGGGTTCCTTTATTTAATTTATGGGGTTCCTCTTGTGATTCTGCCATTATTGTGACACATCAATTTCATGGGCAGAGAGTATACCTGTGTCAGAAGTGGTGTGGTCTCCCACAGGTGTGTCTTACATACTCTTTATTCACACACCCTATGGGCTTCCTTCGGGCACTTTCTGAAGGGAGCTCATCTAGGTAATGCTACATCAGTCCCTCCACCATGTCAATGTGGGATTCTAGCTGTTATGTGAGGAAAGGTAAGATATTGTATCAGAAGTTAACATTTTCCAACACTGTAAATGTATTTTTGATAGATTTTTATCTCCTCTCACACTTTCTCCCCACTTCCAATGTCTTTTTTTTTATGTTGCTCAATCTCGAAGTAAATTTGAGCTAAACTGCATAGAGGAAGTCAGCTGTGCTAAGAGTTGTCTCGCACTTCTATTGGTGGAGGGTTGTTGCATGATTTCACAAAGCTTTTCACATGAAGGTAGGTGGGACATATCAAGGCTAGTGGCAAGTGAAAATTTACACCTAAAGATGGCAGTACAAATCAAGAAATGTTATCTGAGAAGAGGTAACTATCTATCAGAAACACATTTTCAGTATAGGAAAATGTTAACTTTGTTCATCTCATGTTAATTTTGAAATATGTACTTATTCATTATTTTTATATTTCTATGTACAAAGAATTTTCTCTCTAAGAATTATATTTGTAAAATTAAGATTTTTGATTTTCTGAATATTGTATGAGTCATTTCAATGAGTTATGAGCATTATACCACTTAGTAAGCAGTGAAAACACTATACAAATTTCATAAGTTTTTGAGATAGTTGTATAAAAAAATCAACATGATTTATTGTATTTCAGGTTGCCCTGTATCTTACTGACCAGTTTTATGACAGAAACTACAACATAAGGCAGAGGTTGGATATTTTGGAGGTATGGCATGAAAGTATGAAACAGCAAGTAACTTTTTTAGACTTCAGTTTCTTAGGCTATCTTCTAACGAAATGTGAGAATGTTTTTACTCTTATAATTTATCATATGTTCATTTAAAATTTATGTAATTCTTACTTTTATTGTATACAATCTATATAAAATATTAGATAAAATGAAAAATAAACATTGTGTACAATGTTTTTATACCTACCATTTCACAATTCAAGAAGTTTGGTTACAGTTTTGCTAAAAAATCAGCTGCCTTAAGAAGTGTATAAAGTCACTTTAAGGATAATCTATTATGCTAGAAAAAATATGCATTGGTACTATTTTCTAAGCTATGATGCTATCAGCTACCTGCTTTCTTGCAATTGGAAATTCTGATGTCATTTGTTTTGTGTAGTCACATTAGTACATTCAAATCTATAAGATAAGGTACTGTTTTGAGCCCATAACCAAAAGGACTAATTGCTACTAGACTATTAGTTAGCATGTTAAGCTGGATTTACTCTTCACAAGTGGGTTGTAATAATCATCAAGAAAAACTATGTTGATTCTAACATGAAGCAACAGTAACAAAAATTGGAAAAATTATTCTTTTGAATAACAACACATGTATTTACTGATTGAATTTGACCTTGCATTCTCAAATAGTTTCAATTAGCATCCATTTTTAAAGAAGTATGTATAGTTGTAATTAAGTATTTATAAATGTTAGTTAATCGGATATAAAATTTATTCATTATATACCCCATTGAGCATTAAACTTATTATGTAAATTGCAATGTTCCTGTATGTCTTGAGATTGAGTGGTTCTTGTTTAATTATTTAAGAACAAAATATTAGTTAAAAAGAGTGTTACAACACTTTCTAATATGTATACCTTTCATCTCTTCATAGGAATCTACTAGAATAGTTTTTTTTAATGCATAATTTCATCCCTTTATATTTTTACTTATAGTTTATTTTTAATGTTTAACCGTCCTTTCAAATTCTTCATCTATTATCATTTATGTCAATTACATCAACTGATGCCAGCGGGGCTTTATGAAGTTATTTTGGCAGATTCCCCGCATAAACTTGTTGCCGAAACAAGATGGCACTTATACATGCCATCTTATTTATAACTTTTAACAATCCAGGTGACAAGTTAAACTTATAAAAATTATTATACCATTCAAATATGATTTTTAAAACACACATAATACATAATTAACTAAGATATAAAAGTAAAACCTAAACACAAGTTAACTGTCTCTCTAACTATAGCATATTTAGATAAGAAACCACCATAAGTGCTATAGTTGATCGAGCAAACAACAGTATGAATGGTAGTTACATTTACAAAAACTGCAGGCCAATTTCAAATTAACCATCGGTTGAATACAGTGTAAACTGAGCTCTTTCTA